CGGTACGGGGGCAACACTGAGGGTTGCGATCCGTTGCCGGAGACACGGACAAAAGACAAAAGACAAAAAAAAATAAAAAATAAAAAAAAATAAAAGCTTTTGTTTCTGGGCCAGCCCGTGGCTCACTCAGGAGAGTGTGGTGCTGATAACACCAAAGCCCTGGGTTCAGATCCCATATAGGGATGACCGGTTAGCTCACTGGGTGAGCGTGGTGCTGACAGCACCAAGTCAAGGGTTAAGATCCCCTTACCGGTCATCTTTTAAGAAAAAAAATAAAAAATAAAAATAAATAATAAATAAAAGCTTTTGTTTCTAGGAGAACGATTACAAATAGCCACCTAAGTCTCCGACCTCTCGTCTAGTTTCCCACCACTTCATCTTTCTCATTGGTAATGTAGTAAGCTCTATTAAAAAAATCTTTTGAAAAAAAACTTTTGACCTTGTAGTATAGTTATGCAGAATGTTAACAATGGATGAGACTGGGTGAAAGGTGCACAGGACCTCCCTGCACATTTCCTTGCAGTGTCCTGTGAATCTGTAACTATTTCAAAATAAAAAGCGTTTTAAAAAATCTGATTTTATGCTCTTGCTTCAGAATCTCTGCTGCCCATTACCTATGGTACAAAGGCAAATTTTCTTTAAATGGCACTTAGGGCTCTTGCTGATCTGGCCTGAGCCTAATCTCCCCGCTCGCTCTCCTCTTTCTGTGCCCCCACAGGTGCTCTGTGCAGCTCCATTCCAGACTTCCTGCAGTTCCTAAAAGCAAAGCCAGTTCTCTGCACAGTGTCTTTACTTCAGCCCTAAGTACTTTTTCCAGTGTTCCAATCAAATGTCTCCGTTGTCATCAGTCTTCTTTCCTGTTATAGAAAAGTGGATCATTTCTTTGTGCCATCACAAACCTTCTCAGAGAGCTGACAAGATTTTTTGTCCATCAGTTTAGAAAACTGAAGCTTGTCCAGGTTAAATGCAGGGCATGTGGCTGGTTATACTTGGCCTCGGACCACCAGGCAACCAAGTATTACTGGAAAAATCATGAAAAATGGTAGGTTGCTGTCTTCATAAAACTTTAGAGGGCCAGCTTTAGTTAAGCCCTTCTCAGACCTATTCAAGCTGAGTTCATTACTTTGTGCCACTTTGGTTTCTCGAGAACAGAAATTATTTCTTATTTACTTTTTTCCTCTAGCGTATTCTTTCTATGTTGAAACATGACTGGCGTTCAATAAATGTTTGTTGAGTGAATAATCCAAAAAAAAATGAATAATATGGACCTAAGAGTTGGTTGGTTCCCCTCCCCTCTTACCTTCTGCAGCTCGGTTTTCCTTGAGTCTCACGTCTTCTCTAAATCTGCCCTATGTTCTTTCCACTTTTGTACTTGGCCCCTAGAACTCCGGATCAAGAGGCAGAACTCCTCAGATAGCATCTCAAGCCTCAACAGCATCACTAGCCATTCCAGTATTGGCAGCAGCAAGGATGCTGATGCAAAAAAGAAGAAAAAAAAGAGCTGGGTAGGTAAAGGTTTGCGGGGAGAGAACTATGTAGAAGCATGGTGGACCACCTCCACCTCAGCATAGGGGCCAGGTCCTTCCAGGATTAACCAAGATGCAGTCCCTGCTAATACTAAGTCCTGGTTTGATGTCTGCTCAGAGCAAGGTCTGCTAAATTCTCCCTTCCCTGAATTGTTCCCTACTTGTCCCAGGCCACCCCTCCAACCTTCATACTCATCTGCTTTCCTTGGGCTCTCCATACTGATTAGGTCAAATGTATTTGGCAATGGAAGGAAGCTGAGGAAATACCCAGAAAGGAACATATTATCAGTTACCCCACCCAAACCCCCCACTTTCTTCTGTGCTATGGAGAGAAGATTTTATGAACAAAGCCATCTATTCTAGATGCTCCTGGAGGTCATTTCTTCAATTTTTGGAGAGGTATTTGTGGAACTTTCAAAGGGACTCTATAATAACTTTGTCTGATCCAGAGTTAGTTTTTTTTTACGTGTATTTTTTTTTCTCCCAGATAACCCTAAACTGACTTTGGATGACCTTTCTGAAATTCATTAGGCAGGTCTAGAACACTCTCAGCTCCTCTTGCTGACTGTAGTAAGGGGAGCATCTCCAAATAAAGACTTCCTGCTCCTCTGTCTCCAGTTCAGTAAGATTAGCCCACAGATTTGTCTAGTACAGATGGGTACCAGCTGTGTGAAATGAGTGATTAAGTGTTGCTTCTTTTTTTTCCCCTTCAAAATGCTGACTCCAAATCCCTATTTTTTTCCAGGTCTATGAGGTAAGAGACCCGGTTCCTCTCCCCTTATTTTCTCTTTCCCTTTGCCATATCTTCCCTATTTCCAGAGCAACTCCCTCCCCTTGAAAAAAGAACAGCCACTCACATCACTAACCATAACAACCACCCCAGAATTCCTAACTCACTCCACTGCATGGTCCATCCACAGCTGCCCCACATGAGGACAGAGGAGTGGTCTGGTTGGGGGCCAAATGGGAAAGTCAAACAAAACCCAAATCTATTTCATACTGTCTTCTCTCCTGTTACAAAATTGGCCTGTTAAAAGAGCAGTCAAATTGAGTCCCTGCTATCCAGAAAATGAGCCTTCTTATTTTTGGTTTCATTAAACCTAGAAGTCCAAAATGGAAGAGAATCACTTGATGAAGGTTATCTTGACCACAATTTCCAGAGTCCAGAAGATTTAGCTCTAGAGTAAGGTAAACCAGAGATCGGTGAGAGATACAGTCTAGTCTAGGGCACACTTAAGTCCCCAAAGCTGAAAACCCTCTAAATATCCATGGAGTTTCCAAAAACATTTCAAGGATTCGAGTATAGTCTAAGACAGGGGCTGGCCAGTCAGTTCAGTTGGTTAGAGTGTGGTGCTGGGTGAGAGATACAGTCTAGTCTAGGGCACACTTAAGTCCCCAAAGCTGAAAACCCTCTAAATGTCCATGGAGTTTCCAAAAACATTTCAAGGATTCGAGTATAGTCTAAGACAGGGGCTGGCCAGTCAGTTCAGTTGGTTAGAGTGTGGTGCTAATAAGATCAAGGTCCAGGATTCAATCCCTGTACCAGCCAGCCATCAAAAAAGAAAAGAAAAAAAAAAGAGTACAGTGTAAGACAAACAGAAAGTGAACCTAGAATTTCTGTTACAAACCAGACATCTAAGGTCCACTCTAACCCTGTCCTAACATTGTGGTTGGTGCTGTGAAGGACATGAACATTGGTGTCTATAATCTCAGTCATTTAGGAGCCTGCAGGTTTGCCGGGAAGACAAAAAATATATCATACGTATAAAACTAATAACAATCTGAGGGTGCTCAAATGCTTATTCAGACAATAAGTGCTAAAGGAGTTCACAGAGGAGAGAGACTGTGATTAGAGTAGGCAGGGGAAACATCACAGAAGAGATAAAAGTTCAGTGAGGTGGGATTGTGATCGGTAGAGAGGAATGTGTTGGAATGGTCACTTCCTACATGGTCACTTTCTGCTCAGAAGAGAAGCAGAGGGCCAGGAAGAAGACCAGATTAGTGAGAGCACTAACTGACTGAGCAGGGTAGAGCACAGATAGGAAGGGCCTGATAATTATTGCAACTTGATTCTTTAGCATTTCCCTAATTATGTTCCACAGATCACCAGTCCATTGAGATGCTCCTTAAAAAGTGATACCATCATGGGCCGGCCCGTGGCTCACTCGGGAGAGTGTGGTGCTGATGACACCAAGGCCCTGGGTTCGGATCCCATATAGGGATGGCCGGTTCGCTCACTGGTTTAGCGTGGTGCTGACAACACCAAGTCAAGGGTTAAGATCCCCTCACCGGTCGTCTTTAAAAAAAAAAGTGATACCATCATCAAAAAAATTTGAAAAGCACTGCATTTCCTATAGGGTACATCTGCACAGGAAAAGTTCTGAGATATCCCCCAGTAAAGAATCCTGTTTCATTTTGTTCAATTCATTGTTTCCTGAACTCATCCAACCATGGAGCCATTAGCCACATAACACCAAACATCTCCCAACAGTTCTGGCTTTGGGAATACTGAACTACATATAGATAGAGCTCTTTTCTCACTTAGGATCTTGCCGATTTTAGAGGGCTTATGCTCCAGGCAGATTGTGGTCATGGGATCTCTATCTGCACATGCACACTCACACACACACACATGCACACACACACACGCACACACACAGCTTCCCACAAGGCAGTGGTATAGAGAAAACTTCATTGGATTGAAAATTAGGAAGCCTGAGTTCTAGTCTCAGATCTTTCAATTATGCAGCTTCAAGCAAGTCAACTCACTGGCCTTTTCAGCCTCTGCTCTTTATCTCTACAGATAACTGAGCTTTAAGTTCTTTTGAGCCCTGACTGCTCAACAATAATAAGTCCCTTGGAACCAGCCCGCTGCTCACATACTCTTAGTCATATCCCCATTGCAACCAGATTGGCCCTCCTTTATGTCTTGTCTAGGAGAAACCACAACACACACCACCCACTGGCTCCATCCACCGCCTAACAGCCTTCCTGTGTTCCAGGAGAGACACTTAGAAAGGGTACCCTCAAATTTTCCCTCCTTTTTTCTCGATGTCCCAGAGATCTGGTTTGCCTTTGTTCCCTATAGCCTTTGACCCTCCTTTACTCTCTGTCTCTTGCTGCCATTCCGTGTCTGTGTCCCTGTGTGTGTGTGTGTGCATGCTGTATGGACGCATGTGAGTGGGTGTGGGAGAGGACCCTGGTTTGCATCTCTAGCTCACATCCCTAACACCCAAGCTCATCAACACCAAGATCAAATCAGCTGTGGTCATATTATAAGGCCCCAAGAACTCTAAGGAAATGCTGGAAAATATCTCTTTATTCTAGGACATTTGAAATAGTGGAAAGTGATTATGTCTGATTGTTTTAATCATTCTGTGATATGCTGGGCACAAGAAATACTAAATGAAACTTGATATCACTGCCTTCTCTTGATCTCCACAGAATCATATTGTCAGTTTCTGGTTGATAGGTGAGTAGATGAATAGATTCTGGGCTGATGAGCCCCAGTCAGAGGTGGCATCCTGAGACCCAAAGTGAGCTAGGTTCTAGATTGAGCGGTTATTTTCCTGCTGGGGAAGGTGGGGGTGGATTGCTGAGAGGTACACCACATGACCTCTGTGGGTTTCTGTCTGTCCCCATCAGGGGCACAGTTCCCCTTCCCATTGCCTACAACAGCAGCGAGCCGGAAGACTCTGCTGTTAATCTGTGCTCGTTTCTGGGCAACTCTTCTGTCCATATTCCATGAATTAAGTGAAGACTCATGGAGGGAGGCTTGATTACAACTAGTAAATCCCCTGCCTTGACATCTCTCTGTCTCAGAAATCCCAAAGCATCCTCCCTCATCCCCAGAGTACAGCCCTCACGTCTCTCTACCTGGATCTGCTTTTTTTTAGCTTCGAAGTTCCTTCAACAAAGCCTTCAGCATAAAAAAAGGACCCAAGTCAGCTTCCTCATACTCTGACATAGAGGAAATTGCCACACCTGACTCCTCGGCCCCCTCATCCCCCAAACTACAGCATGGTTCCACAGAGACTAAAGGACCCAAGTCAGCTTCCTCATACTCTGACATAGAGGAAATTGCCACACCTGACTCCTCAGCCCCCTCATCCCCCAAACTACAGCATGGTTCCACAGAGACCGCGTCACCCTCCATCAAGTCCTCCAACTCATCCTCTGTGGGCATCGATGTCACTGAGTAAGTGCCCTCTAGCCACCCGCTACCCAGCCTGGTACTGTGTATGCTGCTGGCTAGAGTGGGCAGCAGGCCCATCAGACCCCGCACACACAATACTTTATCACTGACCTCTCAGGGCGTGTGGGACCAACAGAGGGACCTTTCCTCTCCCACTGATTGAACACTGGCGGGAGGAACCACGACTACCAACCGCATGTCTCAATGTCCCCTAGTAACTCTCACGCTTCTCCATGTATCCTGGCTTGACTCTTGCTCTCTTACAGGGGCCCTGCTCACTCAGTTCCCCACGCTAGGCTGTTCCATGCCAGTGAGGAGGAGGAGCCAGAGAAGAAGGAGGTGTCAGAGCTGCGCTCTGAGCTGTGGGAGAAAGAGATGAAGCTTACAGACATCCGCTTGGAGGCCCTCAACTCTGCCCACCAGCTAGACCAGCTCCGGGAGACCATGCACAACATGCAGGTCAGTGTCTGGGCAGAGAGCTGCAGGAAAGGGAAGAGCAAGGTTTCAGATCTGTCCAACCCTGCCACCCTACCCTGTCTGTTCTTGCCACAGTTGGAGGTGGACCTGCTGAAAGCAGAGAATGACCGGCTGAAGGTAGCCCCAGGTCCCTCATCAGGCTCCACTCCAGGGCAGGTCCCTGGATCATCTGCTTTATCATCCCCTCGCCGCTCCCTGGGCCTTGCACTCACCCATTCCTTCAGCCCAAGTCTCACAGACACAGGTACGTGTTTGGGAGAAGAACCCATAAGGGTGGAGAGAAGAGAAGGGTTCATTCAATGTTACACCATTCCACTTGCTCCGGTGGCATCTTCCTCGGGTCAGGGAAGGCGCAGGGCCTAGACACTAAGCGTTCATACAGTCCTTCGACCTCAATTACTTTTCGGTTTGGGGCCTCCGTTTTTTCTCTGTGGGAAATACAGAGTTATCTGGAAAGGATAGTGACTGGAAAGCTTAGGAAAAGCTGTGAGTGCCACTGAAACCAACTAACCCTTTTCCATGCCCACAGACTTATCACCCATGGATGGCATCAGCACTTGTGCTCCAAAGGAGGAAGTGACCCTTCGGGTGGTGGTGAGGATGCCCCCCCAGCACATCATCAAAGGGGTAAGGAACTTCAGGGAGGACCTACGTAATATTGTCATATTTATCCAAGAAAATCTGGACTCTGAATACCCCCAAAACCAGAGTACTCAACTCCTAAGGCCTTTCAGGATCTCCCTTTCTTGGAGTCATCTGCACTGAGGCTCACGTGCTTCTAAATTGGCCTTACAGGACTTGAAGCAGCAAGAATTCTTCCTGGGATGTAGCAAGATCAGCGGGAAAGTTGACTGGAAGATGCTGGATGACGCTGTTTTCCAAGTGTTCAAGGTAATGTGATACTGGACTCAAGAGGTGCTGGGATCTGGGGACTTTTGAAGCTTTATGGAAAAATGCCAAATAGGAAAAGCAACCGTTCTTCTCTTTCTCCACCTACTGTTGTTTCCTCTAATACTCATTCTCTGCTATGGCTTTTCCAGCTGTGTTTGTCTCTTTTCAGTGTCCCTCACCATCTTCTTATTCTCCTTATCTCTTCTTTCAGGACTATATTTCTAAAATGGACCCAGCCTCTACCCTGGGGCTTAGCGCCGAGTCCATCCACGGCTACAGCATCAGCCACGTGACACGGGTGCTGGATGCTGAGCCCCCAGAGATGCCTCCGTGCCGTCGAGGTGTCAACAGCATATCAGTGTCCCTCAAAGGTCAGTCTTTGTTTCCTAGGGTGAGGTCATATTGCATGAAGGCTGAGACGGGATCATCAAAGAATCCATCATGTATGCATTCAACCAGAATGTACTGAGAAACTGTAATGTGAAGTTTCTCAGGTAACACGAGATATAGAAAGATTAGTCCTAACTGTAGCTCCCAGGGCCATTTTTGCCAAGCCTGGGCTTCTCCCTCCACCCCTCACCTAGCCTGGAGTATGTCCCTAAACATGAGATATTAGCTTTCAAAACTAGGGGTTAGGGGACTCCTGTAGAACCATGGGGCAAGTGGCTCTGAGTTTCCTCAGCGGGCTCCCAGACGAAGAAAGGAAAGCTCTTCAGGGGCCCTGGCTGTCCTCGGGGCCCTGGTGAAGACGCATGCTTTCTGGGGCGGGGATTCAGGTCTGAAGGAGAAATGCGTCGACAGCCTGGTGTTTGAGACACTGATCCCCAAGCCGATGATGCAGCACTACATAAGCCTCCTGCTCAAGCACCGGCGCCTCGTCCTCTCAGGCCCCAGCGGCACGGGCAAGACCTACCTGACCAATCGGCTGGCCGAGTACCTAGTGGAGCGCTCCGGCCGTGAGGTCACCGAGGGCATCGTCAGCACTTTCAACATGCACCAGCAGTCTTGCAAGGTGGCTGCCTCCTGAGACCGGTGCCAGTCCTCATTCAGGCCTCAGCCTCCTCCACGACCTTTCCTAGGCCCCTGTTCCCTTTTTCCTTTCCTCACCCTGGCCTTAATCTTTCTCCCCCTCTTCAGTGCTCTCTTTTCCTTCCTCCCTATGTTGTCCCCTTTCCTGGGCATCTCCCTCCCCTGCCTCAGTTTCTTTCCAGATTTTGCTCTTAACTTCTTTCTCCACACTTTTCCTCACCTCTATTAAGCTCCTTTCCTTTTAATTGATTGTTGATGAAACTGCATCTTCCTTGTTTGTAACACTCTCTGGCAACCCTGTCGATCCCATACCTTCTCTTTTATTTTCTTCCTTCTACCTTTCTTTTCAGAATTACCCTCACGTTGGGCTCTCTGGGAAGAGCACTTTGGAATTAAATATTATGTATTATGCCCTCCCTTGCCCAATCCTGTCTCCTCTTGAGCATACTCTATCCTTTGGAGTTGGTTCACATCTTAACTCCTCCCCAGATGGGGAAGATACATCCATTAATGTTAGTTCATGGCACCAACCCACTGAAAAATTTAAGAAGTAGCATATGTTCCCCACCTTTGGGAGATTTAGGGGCCACTGGTTCAGAGGGCTGCTTTAGAGCCTTTGGGACCACTATTTATCAGTCTGTGGTAATCTGGTTCTATAACCAAATGTCCAGGTACATCAAAAAAGAATCAGAGGCCTCAGGGAAATCCAGAACTAGCTAAACTTCTCCACAGCAGAGGGCTGCTTTAGAGCCTTTGGGACCACTATTTATCAGTCTGTGGTAATCTGGTTCTATGACCAAATGTCCAGGTACATCAAAAAAGAATCAGAGGCCTCAGGGAAATCCAGAACTAGCTAAACTTCTCCACAGTCTTTCTTTCAAGGTTGATCCAGGTACTGATTCCTCAGTGCCAACCCACTGCCTTCTTTTATTCCAGGATCTGCAACTGTATCTTTCCAACCTGGCCAACCAGATAGATCGGGAAACTGGAATTGGGGATGTGCCCCTGGTGATCCTGTTGGATGACCTGAGTGAAGCAGGCTCCATCAGTGAGCTGGTCAACGGGGCCCTCACCTGCAAGTATCACAAATGGTAAGCTAGGGTCAGGACCAAACATCACAGTGGGAGGAGGGACAACCCAGTCCAGTTCAACCTATGAGCTCTCCATTGTGTGCATGCCAGAAAGCAAGCGTTAAGACAAATCTAAGTGAATCTTTTCCCCCTTTCTTCCTACAGCCCCTATATCATAGGTACCACCAATCAGCCTGTAAAAATGACACCCAACCATGGTTTGCACTTGAGCTTCAGGTAAGAGCTATGGCCCTGGATAAGCCTTCCAGCCCTACCCAAGAGTCTACAAACTAGTTCAATCCTGGGCTCTGGCCAGAGGGGCAGTAGATAGCAGAAGGAAAGTGAAGTACAGAGCCTTTCAGGCAGGCAAGAGAAAGGAGGTGTATTTGCTATGTCAGTGACAGGGTGGAGGAGGACATTTGAGGAGAGGAAAAGACTGCAGAAACTAGCAGAGACCCAGGCAGGCTGCTGTGATTAGCATTGTCTGCCCACACAGCCGGATTTAGGTCAGCGAGGTTAGACGGCTATCTGAAGAGGGCCGCTGATCTGTGAAGCAGCTCTGCCTGCCTGGGACTGCTGCCTTGAGTTCAACTGTCCTCACCATTTCTTGAGAAAAAACCAAGTGGA